CACGTTTTCTTTTCACAAACGTGAAATGTCTAAAAAAAATTAATGTGTAGTATTTTTACTTATAATAATACTACACATTATTGATTCGTACTAGGGCCTGAATCAATAAAATACTCAATTTGATCCTTGGGTATACTATACCTCCCATCCTGAACCTTTAGGAAAAGGTTATGTCTATTTTTTATACCCTTCACCACATTGTGGTACAGGGTATTATGTCTTGGTACATATGTTTGTAACAGGCAAAAGGAAACGAGATTTTGAGAATGTACATGGAATCACTTTCTGAGTCGATTTATGCATGTCCGTCCGTCCGTTTATGCGCTAAGTTTCGTGAAAATCAGTTTAGATTTAGGTATAGCTCCCATATATAATATCGTCCGATTTAAGGTAAATGGTACACCAATGTTTCTATATATCTACAATGACGTACGTAAAGTTTCGTGAAAACGGTTACGATTTTGATATAGCTCCCATATATATTTTCGTCCGATTTAATGTAAATGGTGAACCAAAGTCTTGGAATATCTTTCGATATGCACGAAATTTTGCATAGCTTACCGAATTCGATCTAAAGTGATGAGTGTTAAATTTCATTCAAATTGATTCAGATTTAGAAAGCTCCCATATATGTTTTCGTCCGATTTAATGTAAATGGTGCGCCAAAGTCTCGGAATATCTTTCGATATGCACGCAATTTTGCATAGTTTACTGAATTTAATCTAAAGTGATGTGTGTTAAGTTTCTTGGAAACGGGTCAGATTTAGATATAGCTCCCATATATATTTTCGTCCGATTTAAGGTAAATGGTGCGTCAAAGTCCCCAAAATATCTTTTCACATGCACGAAATTTTGCATGGCGTACTAAATTAAGTCTAGAATGATGTGTGCTAAGTTTCGTGGAAATAGGTTCAGATTTAGATATAGCTCCCATATATATTTTCGTTCGATTTAAGGTAAATGGTGCACCAAAGTCCCTAAATATCTTTCGATCTGCACGAAATTTGGTATAGCACACTAAATTAAGTCTAGAATCGATTCCGATTTAGATATAGCTCCCATATATATTTTCGTCCGATTTAATAGAAATAGTGCACCAAAGTTCTTATATATCTTTCGTTCAATTTCATGTCAATGTTCTTTCGAAAAGGCGACATCTGTTAGGAGACTATGTAGAATATACCCAAAGTGGTGAAGGGTATCATATAGTCGGCCCAGTCCGACTTTACTACTTTCCTTACTGTTTTTTAACTTTATTTTATTTTGATATCTATGATACTCCAAAATTGTTTCTATAGAGTAAAGATCTGATGATTGTATTGGCCATTATAAAACCTTGATTTTTGACTCCCGCAACCAATGTTGAACATGTTTTGGTGTATGTTTGGAGGTTATTGTCAAGCTGAAACAACCAAACATGGGGTTTATTTTCTTTAGCGAACAGAACCATAGCGTTTTCCAACACATTTCTGTACAAAGTTCGATCCATTACTTCATAAATGTCGTAAATATATAGAACTCCATCAAAAGAAAAACAGTCCACATAAAAAAATCCTTTTAACACTCATAATGGTATGAGTAATGTGATTTACTATTATTTAACCAGTATTCATTTGTCAAAAAACAAGAACCCATACGCATGTACCTATCATTTCTAATGTATCAAAAATAGATTTTATATTTATCTTTCCCACGATCCCAATTCTATAAAAAAAATCAATAGGTGTTATTTATTGTCAATAGTCTGATCATTTCTGCTCATATAAAAAGTAAACATATGTGGACAAATTTATATACATATGTATGTGTGTGTCATTTGCGATACAAATTATGGAAATGTCGCAGATTATGACAAATGTCTAAAATCTAAAAAATATTCACAAGGAAAGCATACAATACCATATGATATGTTTGATATTTTATATACATTATTATTAACATTATGTTTTGAATACATTATGATTTTATTTGTGTATCACATCATCGATTCGATCGATAAGAATCGTCTCACTTAATAATTTGCATGTCGATATAAATGTCAAAATTGAATATATGTATATTAAGTTAGATTCAAATAAGACACATCATTTATATAAAAAATTAACAAGTTTTTGCCAAAAAGATATGGTGAATGATAATTGCTACTGAGCGTATGCGACCATTTATCGTTTTTTACGCAATTAAGTTTTTTTGAATTTCTATGATAATATGAACGACAGCATAATTTGAATCTGAATCATTCAATAAGTTATTGAAAGTCACACACATCACACATGTTGGGTGTAAACAAATTTATCTAGATATATGCCACCATCATTAGCCTAATGAACTGTCACTAACTATCAAGAACTCCAATGACAACTTATTACATTTAAACGGAAATATTTTTTTAGTAAATGTCAAGTATATTTCCTTAAATGTCATTCTCAATGCAACACCTCGAAACAACTCGTGTCTGTCATTTGAAATGCAAAAAATATATCGAAATATAATGAAATATATCGATTTTGTTATAGGGGCTATATAAAAGGTCCCGACCCATTTACGACATCCAGTAAGACCAGCTGATATCAAAATTTTTTGTAAAAATATATTGGATTTTTTTTTGTATTGTGCAAACTAATATTTAAAAACCAAGTATTAAACATCCCATTTGGTTTTGAGTTATAGAAAAACTCCATATTGTAACGCAACGTAAAACCTATTTTCCTTCTGAATTTTACTAACATCGAATTTACTAATCAAACAGCATGATTACTATTTTCAGTATTTCCACTTGAAAAGTTATCGGACATACCTAATATTTAAAAGATTATACGTTAAAGACGGACATCTCCACAAATCACATCTATCAATAAAATGAGCAACAAATACTATGTTCTAAAAATTAAATGTTTAGGCGATATCCTTGATGATAAGCTCGATTTAAATAACAACATTTATATTTAGTTCATCTTGTGTTCGACATTACGTAAATTATAGAATAATAATTTTACACATAATACAAGTCATTGTCGATTTTAATTGGAAATAGTGCAGATAGTTTATTAGAGTTCTGAGACAATATAAAAAAATATATATTATTAATTAAGAAACAATTTATACCAGTGAATGGAGCAGTATAGTCGGTTATATCGCTCATTTGCTACAATACAGGCATAACTAAAAAACACGAATTTGCAAAAAATGTGTTTAAAGTTTTCAATTTACTCACACTTTATATGGGACAGAGGAACTTCTACAGCTTCTCAATTAGAATGTGTAAGAGATGTTCATATGAATTTTTTACACAACATGAGGTCTATTATAGCGAACAATCGTGCATAATTAAGTCGAAAGCACGTTTTTTGAGTTATGAGCGATATGGTACCCTACACAACTACCACTGGACCTTAATTTTCAGCGACGTTACCATTTTTCCATAACAATAATGCCTTAATCTATTTGGAAATTTTTTCAGATATAATAAACTGAATTGACCTATTTTTTGTTGGTTCAAACTAAAGCAACTTTTTGATTTTTTCTCATAAACAAGTAAATTTTGCTAGTAGTGGACAGCATAACCATTATTTTTGATTACGGCATGCTCAATTTGATATACAACTCCTCTCATCCTAAACCTGTCGGAAGAGGTTTCGTAAATCTAAGGCACGTTTAGATTTACGAAATCCACTCGATCTCAGATGCACATTCCATTGCTTATACGTCAAATAAAATCCACTGGATTTGTGAACGGGATTACCGTGATGTAATGGAATTGACATTATTTAAGATCGAGTGGAAACGTAGCCTTTGTTTCTTTGTGAAACTCTCTTGATTTTGCAAAGATGTTTCTTTTGAAGTTATTGTCATGCTGAGACACTCAGTCAAGGGGTATATTTTCTTCAGCGAAGGGGACTGTAGCGTTTTCCAACACATTTGTTTCAAAATCCGATCCATTACATCATAAATCTCGTAAATATATCGAACTCAATAAAAAGAGAAGCATCCCCATATCATTCTTGAACACCATCCATGCTTCCAAATACCCTTGCAATAATAATACATGTCCTCTCATCCTAAACCTGTCGGAAGAGGTTATGTATGTTTCTTAGTGAATCTCTTTTGTTTTTGCTACCTATGATTCTACAAAGAAGTTTCTATATGGTGAAGATCTGATTACAATGATGACCATTTTAAAACCCTGATTTTTGCCTCCCGTATGTTTGTATAAACAATCCGATCCATTAATCATAAATCTCGTAAATATATCAAACTCCATATAAAGAAAAACATTCCCATACCATTATTGACCCCCTCCATGCTTCCAAGTACCATTACAATACTGTGGCTTGATCCTTTAGTTATTTCATGTTCTCACTGTCATTTTCTCGTGTCTGAACTTGAGATAATTCCCTTATCCATAACTTATTATTTATTTCATTATAAATTTTGCATTACTGCTTAACCTGAAAATCTTGGTGACACCTCACGGACTTCCTAGAATTGACATTTCAAAATTTCATTCATATCGGTTCATATTAAATATATGATGTAGTCTCATGTAATCGCCACTTCCAACTATTCCTAAAATTAATTTGTTTACTATGAAAGTCTATTGAATATTGAAATATTTATCTCTCATTTACTTTTAAATTGAACTTTAGGATTACATATCGTCCATCATTTTTTCCAGGCGTATACATACGTAAAACAAATGTTTTTGGCGTATTAATTGATAACGAAATAAAAAAACATTATTTCACGTCATTACGTGACCATTGTTTTTACATAAAAACAACACATTATCATTCAATTTAATCCAATGGATATAATTGTAGATAAAATGGACTTTACATTTTTCATTATACTTCAGAAATTTTACATATTTGTAAATATGTTTTTTTTTATTTTTATGATAAAACAATTTTAGTACAAAATTTAGAATTAATACTAAAGACAAAATAAAATCAATATATCATTTTATCGCACTATAAGTGCAGCGGCAAAAAAACTCCTACCTACAGCAGAAAAGATAGCCAGGCAACAATAAGACAGGTACCACCCATGGGTGCCATGCGAGCAAATGGAGGCTTATTGCCAGTAAATGCTCGGTAATAAAGACAGCCACTGAAAAGTGCTGTACCTAATAGCATCAACGAACCAGTCTAAGCAAAAATATTGTATAAGTAATTAAATTCGTAAACTCAAAATATCCCAAAACTTACCACCAATGGAAACTTGGCCAGTGGCACACCCAACAATGCTAAGGAATGAAAGAAATGGAAACGATTTGCTGTATCGAATATTGCTCGCATCTCAGCATTATCTTTAAATTTGCTATGATGGCTACCGACAGCACCTAGGATAACAGCAGCCGCACCACTTAAGCCAGCCAAACGAACAAAATTATGATTGCGACCTGAAAGTTCCCATAACGATGGCAAAGCTTTTACCAAATTTTTCGACATTGTTTGGCTGGTAGACTATTGAAAAAAATAATATCAATTAAACAACTCTTAAATTCCAAACAAATATACAATACATTTAATGTGTTGGAATTAGCCTTAAATAATGATGAAGTTGTGCCAATAACAGCTTTACTCAATGGATTGCCCACCGCTATGTAATGCAGACCGTCTGTGATTGTCATTTTACGATGCCTTTCCGAACTCTTCTTCTTCCAAGTGATACGAATTCAACTTGTTGCTTTACAAAAGCTATAGAACAAGAAAAATTATAATTAATAGACAAGTTATTTTTCTTATACAATTAAATTCTATACTACAGCTAATATATCTACCTTAAGAATGTGTAGTTCCCCAATTTATTAAGAAAAACAAAGGGACAACCCGAAACTGCATATAATTAGGTATGTGCCGGTAAATGTCTTTGGTAGTAACCAGTAACTTATGGAAACGAGTTATAGGTTACTTTGTATTTTAATTTAGGGTACACAAATTTGATTATGTACTTGATTTGTGTAAAAATATTGGCCGAATTCCCTCAATAGTTTTTTTACATTTTCAAATCAATCCATTTGTTATAAATCGATTTCAAATGTCAATTTCCTAGTGTATACGTCAAATGTAATCCACTAGATTTTTGAACGAAAAATGAATGGAATATCAAGTTGTTTTCATAATATGGCGTTGGAAATATAATTAAAATAATATTTCATCCCAAAACATTGAATGATTTTACTCTCGAATGCTGTAGTGTTAACTTTTAATTACATATGAATTTGAAAATATTTTAATTTCTTTTATCCTTTTCAAGACATTAAATACACATATACAATTTGTTATTGTTTTGACAGAAGAGGGGCGCACAAAAGAAAAGATGTTATCAGCAGGTAACCTTAACCTACCTCTTGTTACTCTTGCTTTTAATATTAAAAGATTTGTTTGCGCAATAAATTAAAGCAGCTTACCTGGTACCTTCCTCAAATTTCACATTTAGAACGAGATTTTTTCGTTAATTTACGAAAAACGTCTGTATTTAGCGAGCAAAATAAGTAGTCGTTAAGCCCTACCGACAGATATGGAGAAGGTGATTTGTTCTATCAAAACGCATACTTGGAGTATTTTTTGTATTGCTTTGAATACCTTGTCAAATAAATATTGTTTTGAATGCTTTGTCAAATTTCAATAATTTTTCGCTATTTTAATTATGTGTTGAAAAAAACTTCACATAATGCATATGTTTTTTATATTTGACAGAAGAAGCCACTACATAATGGGCCCCACACACTATATGGCATGCATGACAGCATTTGAAGCGAACCAAATTCTTGGTCCGAAGCGAATAATATTGGCATCTTTATAAAAGGAACATAGCAATGAAGTAGAGCTATGTCGACTATGCTTTCCAATGATGTTTTGCAACCCATAGACCACAAGAAATAATAAATTGCTCCCACTTTTGAGGGCAAGTTTTCCTAAAATTTAAAAAAGGAAAATTTGGGATTCTTTATATTGGGGACACTTAGAAACATAGAACCAATAATATCAAATTACTACCAATTCAGTAGCAAATTGGTCCAGAAACCCTGAAAATACAAAAATTTCATAACTAATCATTTTCTAGGGTTCTAATTTTTTACCCAATTTGAACTCAAAATATATAATAACAGATAATTCGATTGGAAAGCGTATCTAAAAGTCCTGAAAATATCGAAAATGTGAGCAGTTATATGGTTTTTCCTGCTAAGATTCGGACTCCTTCATATTTTTTTTTTTATTGATTTGTTTTAATTTACAAAAATATATATTGATCAAAGTTTTAAAAATATAGATGACCATGATGACATATTATAGAAATAAATGACAGATAGGGGACATAAATTTTATAGATGACAACCAGTCAAAGTAGATGATTGTCCTCTAAGAAAGAGAACGTATGGTCACCTTAACATTCAGTAACATATTGTACAAATTGTTACAAAATATCGAGTACACAGACAGACATTTTGTACCATGATATTTTCTTATTACTTTTAAATTGTGAATAATTTTCGGCTCCATTACATTACATTAAAATTAATAGATTCTTTCAGTGCGACTACAGACCATCGGTAAATGTAATTTTGTGTATGAACTCAGCATTCTAATCTTGTGTTTGTGCAAACAAAAATAATTATGGTATTGTACCATAAAATATGTGTAAAATATTAAAAATTGCAAAATAACAAATACAATAATTTTAATTAATTGTTCAAAGTGCTTAAAGTTTACAACAGATTCCAACATGTGAAATTCTTTAGTGCGATACATCAAACTCAACGAAAAAGTACGTCCATACCTAAATTTACAACCCTGCACAAAATGTGGCTTGGTGGCTGAACGACGAAGTGTGTCTCGTTCATTAGGTTTTTTACCTTCACCCTTATAACTTGCATATAACTACAAGTAAGTATTAAATAAAATTAATTAATAAAAATGTGATTGTGAAATTCGATTTGTGTTACAAAAGAAAAAAAAACTTGTGAGAAGTAATCAAGAAAAGTGTATATTGTATATAAACATTTATAAATTGTGTAAATATTCTCTTTGTTAAAAAATCAATGTCGGCCATATTGGCCACGTGTTAAACAATGTGGTGCGTTTCAATATTCCATTTTGTACAAATTTATTGATTATTTCTCATAAATATTTTAATGATGATATACCTAATCTTTCCTTTTGCGGTTTCCACCAGAAAATCAAATATTATCTCAGCATGGTTTTTGATCTAAGGATGGTTTAAAGGTGTCTGATTTTTTCTTTGTAACATAACCTCAATGTCTGCCAAAAATATCTTTCTAAAAATTTTCAATTTATTAATACCTTATTTTTTATTGATTTACAGAATGGCGGACGCAGCTCCAGCCCGTGGTGGTTTCCGTGGAGGATTTGGTTCTCGTGGTGGTCGTGGACGCGGCCGTGGACGTGGTCGCGGACGCGGTCGTGGCCGTGGTGGCAAGGAAGACTCCAAGGAATGGGTTCCAGTCACCAAATTGGGCCGTTTGGTTCGTGATGGCAAAATCAACTCTTTGGAAGAAATCTACTTGTACTCTTTGCCCATCAAAGAGTTCGAAATCATTGATTTCTTCTTGGGCTCTGCCTTGCGCGATGAAGTCTTGAAGATCATGCCTGTCCAGAAACAAACCCGTGCCGGTCAACGTACCCGCTTCAAGGCTTTCGTTGCCATTGGTGACAACAACGGTCACATTGGTTTGGGCGTTAAGTGCAGCAAGGAAGTTGCTACCGCCATTCGTGGTGCTATCATCTTGGCTAAATTGTCTGTTGTCCCTGTACGTCGTGGCTACTGGGGTAACAAGATCGGTAAACCCCATACCGTCCCCTGCAAGGTTACCGGCAAGTGCGGTTCCGTCTCTGTACGTTTGATCCCTGCTCCTCGTGGTACCGGTATTGTATCTGCCCCCGTACCCAAGAAGTTGTTGACCATGGCTGGTATCCAGGATTGTTATACCTCTGCCCGTGGTTCCACCGGTACTTTGGGTAACTTCGCTAAGGCTACCTATGCTGCCATTGCCAAGACCTATGCTTACTTGACACCCGATTTGTGGAAGGATATGCCTTTGGGTGCTACTCCTTACCAACAATTCGCCGATTTCTTGGCCGATAAGCCTGGTGCCCGCCACAACATTGATGCTTAAGACAAAAAAAGAGTAATATAATTATGTATATGAAATTTGAATGCGCACCAATGTTTTTGCGAGAACATTGTGAAAAAAGTAAAAAATTGACAACTCTTCGGAGAAGTAAACTGAAATGATTTTTTTGTTTTATTGTAGTTTTGGGTACAAATTTAAAGGTTAATTAATATTTAGGAGTTGCAAAAGTATTCCTTTATAATGAAGGAGTGTGTGGTCCAAACTAGCAGACATGCAGGAATATCGGTCTGTCCAAGTTGCCTGAGAAGGATTTTGGAGGAAGGTGGCTTTAGAGGCTGGTCCATAAATAAAGTTATAAATACATGAATTTCGGAACTTTAGAGGTCCATATCTCGGGAAGTGTAGACTTCTCTCATATTTTTTTGTGATTAGGAAGACGAGGCCTACCTATTGTGAAAAGTACAGAAAAATCGGATTTGGTTCAGACCTTGTGCAAAATTTAGACCGAAGTACGCCATTACCAAACAGCGAAGGAAAAGTAGGAATGTTATAGTGATTTTAAAAGGCAATTTCAGAGGTCCATATCTCGGGAAGTATGGACTTCCCTCATGAAAGTCTCATATTTTTGTGATCAGGGAGACGAAGCCTACCTATTGCGAAAAGTACAGATAAATCGGTGGTGAACCTCTTAACTTAAGCCTGGATTTGGTTCAGACCTTGGGCAAATTATAGGCCGATATATCCCATTTTCAATATCAAATATTGAAGGAGTAATAAGAATGTTATAGTGATTTCAAAAAACAATTTCAGAGGTCCATATCTCGGGAAGTATGGACTTCCCTCATGAAAGTCTCATATTTTTTTTGTGATTAGGGAGACTACCCTGTTGTAAAAAGTACATAAAATCGGGGAGAAACTCCAAACTTAAGCCTGAATTTGATAAAGACACTTGGGCAAATTTTAGACCGATATATCCCATTTTCAATATTTAACATCCGAGTAGTAGGAATGTTATAGTGATTTCAAAATACAATTTCCGAGATCGATATCTCGGGAAGTATGGGCTTCCTTCATATCTATTGATGTATCTAATTGGGGTAAAAAGGGCTATCAAAATTTTCAGAGCGATGGCCATCAAGTAAATTTGTTCCGTTGAGATTGTAATATCCCACAAAATAAACCCCGATTTAAGAAGTATATAAAAATATATTTTTTGTTTTTTAATAATTTTATTTATTGATCTTTGTGTATTAATGAATTATACATTATTCAGCGTTGAAGAGAAATTTTCGCCATTGGCAAGATTCCAGAATAATCTGTAAATAAAAGAGAATAAAACAAATGAGTTTCCTTCAGAATATTTTATAATTTTCAATTGTTTCAATAATGAAGTGTATCAGACAATCCTAAACCGTCATTAGCAGAACTTCCGGTGGAAACCGCAAAAGGAAGAGATTAGGGATATCATCATTTACAACTTCTAAATTACATACAAATAAATAATGTAAAGAAAGACTTTTCTACAAACCTTTTGTGCCATAGAT